TGTTATTTTGTATACCTCAGCCAGCAGTAAAAGAATCAGACTTTGTCTTAACTTGATTTTTTGGCAATTTAGTTGCGCCTTAACTTCCTTTGTCTTTTACAGCAAGTTTCCTTTCAATTTTTTTTTAAAAAAAGGATGTGAGTCAGAGGACAACTTCCGATACTTGTTCGCTTTGAAATATTTTGTTTTCTTCTGCTCTCTGGCCCTGGGTAAACACTCAGATTCCTTTTCTCAAAAGCAGTTCATTTCACGTCAAAGGGATCCTATGGTTGCTTTCAAAGTGTTTCCTCTGAATCCTGTAGTGATCCACTAGGAAAACTCCGGATCCCAAGCTTCGGTCATCCTGTGTTTGGCTTCTCCCAGCTGGCTGCAAAAACAGACCCTGACATTTCCGGAGACTTGAGATAGCGCTGAAGCAGGAGGGGCCCTTCAGTGCCTCTGTGCTAACTTTCCGCCAGACGGTGGTATTTTTTTTTTTTCAGACTCCATAAAAGCTGGCGAACGAATGACCACACAAAACGTTTGGGGATCCTTTGTTTTTACACTCGTTCTCTCCGTTGATTACCTATTGTGATCTTTTCGAACAAATGCATGCTACGTAAAGCATTCATAAGTTTAAATCATTGGAGTTTTAATCCTGGCCTCCTTAGTTTAGAAGTAACTCAGTGGAGTGAACTTATCTAATATTCTTTCCTCCTTCTATTTTCCCAATAACAACAATAACCCGCCTGTAAGGTGGGTTGGGCTGAGAGAGAAGGGGGTTGACCCAAAGTCACTTTCTTGCCTAAGGCGGGACTAGGACTCCTTGTCTCCTGGTGATTGGCCTAGAGTCACCCAGCAAATTTTTGTGGCTAAGGCGGGACTAGAACTCACCATCTCCTGGTGATTGGCCCAGAGTCACCCAGCAGGCTTTCGTGGCTAAGACGGGACTAGAACCCCTCATCTCCTGGTGATTGGCCCAGAGTCACCAATCAGGCTTTCATGGTAGTTTGGGTAATGAAACATCTGCAATAAGGCAACCAGGATCAGAGAGTACAAAGGGCCCACAGTATTAGTCATTCTCCTCCTCCTCCTCCTCCTCCTCCTCCTCCTCCTCCTCCTCCCAAACCCCTTCTAGCACTGATGATGTTACCTAGTTGGGTCACGAAATGCCTGCAAGAAAACAACCAAGCTCAGAGTTCACCAAGGATCCTACAGTCCTTCTCCTCTTCTTCTTCTCCTCTTCCCTCTTCCCCTCCTTCTCTCTGCAACCCTCCCTCTCTTCTAGGACTGATGATGTTACCTAGTTGGGTCATGAAATGTCTGCAAGAAAACTACCCAGCTCATAGAGCGCCAAGGACTCCTCACAGCTAATTCCCTCAGTTATTCATCATATGGTTCAGCTTCCAGGCCCCTGATCATTTCTGTGCTCTTCTCTGGACTCTTAGGGCCTTTTCTTCTATTCAGCCTTGAGGGTTATATCCTGGAACGGGAATAAATATATTTTATTTACAGGTAAGAATAATAAAAGAGTGCCTCAAAGAAAACAATGCCTAGAAGGTCCAGATCACGCTAATTACAATATATTTATATATATATAGAGAGAGAGAAATTCTTGGACCCGTATTCAGCAACCAGCTCTCAGCTGCATGAATTTCCTCTTTATATAAAAAAGCAGGAAATCCTTTTGCAATTGGAGGCCACACAGGGCTGCGGGAAAGTGAGCAATGCGGGCCTGGAATTTTTAGTCCCCACTCCCCCCCCCCCCCCCGTGTTTTTATAAAATAATTGTGATTATCATGTTGGATGCTTTAAAATTCTTCTTTCACTGGATTTTTTTTTTTCAATTTAAAATCTTACTTCTCCAATCAGGAACTTCCAACAATTTTGTTGTGTGACAGGGATAGGACGAAGTTAGGTTTGCAGGCTGACTATTTAGGTGACTGATCAGAGGTGGGTATTCAGCTGGTTCTGACCTGTTCTGGAGAACCACCAGTAGCGGAAATTTTGAGTAGTTCGGAGAACCGGCCAATCCCACCTCTGATTGATCCCGCCAACCCCATTTATTTTGTACCTCCCATTGAGTCCCAGCTGATCGGCTGGGCCTCCTTTGGTTGCCCTGCACAGGAGAACAGAGCTGGAAAGCAGGTTAGTGGGGTGGGCAGGGAAGGGGGATTTTGCAATATCATCCCCCTGCAATGCCCACCAGGCCACACCCTCCAAATCGGTAGTAAAAAAAAATTGTATCCCGCCACTGTGACTGATAGATTGATTTGATGGATTGACAGATGATTTATACAAAGTCGTTGAATGGATCCACAAGGGACTAGAAATAAAAGAATGAAGATGAACCAAATGCCTAATCATATTTTATTGATGTACATTTCAACAAGGCTGCACACGTTACTTTCAGTGTTACAGAACCATTTTTAATAATTAATAAAACATGGATTATGGATAATCCTCTTAATTACAACCACAACTGAGCCCAACATTTCTGTTAGCTAAGCAAAACATTCGATACGTGATTTTTGTCCCGTGTTTTTTGACCTTCCTTGGCCAAAATTGTGAAGTGATTTCACTGCGGTTGTGAAAGTCAGTAACACAATTGTTAAATGAATCTGGATTCCCCCAATGACTTCGCTTGTCAGAAAGACACAAAAAGGGGATCAGAGACCCCCCCCCCCGGGACACTGCAACCGTCATAAATATGAGACAGTGGCCAAGCGTCTGAATTTGGAGCACGTGATCATGGAGATGCTGCCTTGGTTGTAAGGTCCAAAGCAACTTTTTTCAGCGCCGTTGTAAATTCGAACGGTCACTAAACGAACCGTTGTAAGTCGAGGACTGCCTGTACCCAATTTTTTTAAAATTATTATTAATGGATTGGTGTGGGGAGGGGAGTATAACAGCAGTTTTGCCCCAGTTGCTGCAAAATCAAAGAATGCAGCGTTTAGCTTCTTGTGTTCTGAGTTCCTTGACTTCTCATTAAAAAACCAGCCAGTCAAATTGAGGCTCCTAACTCTGCGAGGTGTGGAAATTGTGGACAGAGCAAATTTGGGTCATGGTTGGAACTGGGAGTTTCCCTTCAAGCGAGGCATTGTCGCCTTTCAAGAGCCTTTGTGTGCACTGCACACACACACAGTCCAGTTGACCTTGAGGGAGACTTAACAACACAGGGCGGCTTTGCAGAAGGGAGCAGCTGCTTCCCACGGCTTGCAAGTGAGCAGCGCTCTTCAGGCAGGTGCATCACCCGAATAGGACGCCGATGATCCATTCAAACGAAAAGGAAGGATACTGTAACTACTTAACAGAAGAATAGAGTGGGAAGGGGGATTAAAGGTCTTCTAGTCCAACCCCCTGCATAAATGGTTTCAGACCAATGGTTGCACAATCTCCCCTCAAAAGCCTCCAGTGATGGAGCCTTCACAGCTTCTGAAGGCAAGTTGTTCCACTGACGAGTTGTTTTAACTGTCAGGAAATTTCTCCTTAATTCGAGGTTGCTTCTCTCCTGGATTAGTTTCCATCCGTTGCTTCTTGTCCTGCCCTCTGGTGCTTTGGAGAAGAGGCTGATCCCCTCTTCCTCTTCTTTGGGGCAGCCCCTGAGATATTGGAAGGCTGCTGTCATGTCTGCCCTAGTCCTTCTCTCCACTAGACTAGCCGTGCCCAGTTCCTGCAACCCTTAACAGGATAACAGAGTTGGAAGGGACTTTGGAGGTCTTCTAGGGATAGTCCAACCCTCTGGTCAAGCAGGAGACCTTATGCTGCCATTGGGTGTGGGGATGTCTGTCAAGAAGACCTGCATAAATTCCTGTGGGCTCAGCCGGGACTCTTGATGACTTTGTGGCTGCTTATGACCTCCTCCGCCATATGCTTAGCCACAACACCGGAAAGGGATGCTTGTCTGCCTCTCCATGCTGATGACTCCCTGAATGTGCAAGGTCGATCCTGAACGAGACAGAACGCCGGGCTGGATAGTGCATCATCCAGATGCGTTGCTTAATCTGGTGTTTCTCAACCGTGGCAGCTCGAAGATGCGTGGACTTCAACTCCCAGAATTCCCCAGCTACAACGCCCACACAAGTTGCCAAGGTTGAGAAACACTGGCTTCATCCATCGACAGAAGCTCAGGACAATCTTTGTTTCCTGGAGCTAAATTGTGTGGAATTGCAGACTTGCAATCTTTAGCCTTGGTGTAGATTTTTTTAAAAAAAAAACCACGGCCAGTGGTTCCACGTGCATGGTTTTTGTACTGATTGTGTGGATCCCTTGACTTTTATTACCAGGTTTTGTAAGCTCATGAGGTTCCTACAAAAGTATTTATTACTTTTATCAGAATGGCATCTCCTGATACATACAGCAAACAGCAGCTTTCCTTTGAGTTTCCAAAATGTGTGCGTGCATAAATGATTTACTTTTTTAAGCACGCAAATAAACATTGGAGAGCAAACCCCCACCCCCTTGTAGTACTGATGGTGTTACCTAGTTAGGTCATGAAATGTCAGCAAACCAACCAACCACCGAGCTTAAAGAGCAACAAGGACTCCACAAGTAGCACTCTTCGCAAACCCCTCTCCCTCCTAGCACTGATGATGTTCCCTAGACGGGTCATGAAACGTCTACATGAAAACCACCCAGCTCTGAGAGCACCACGGACCCTGCAATCCTCCCCCTCTTCCCCCTCCTCCTCCTCCTCCACCCCCACCTTTTACTTCATTCTGCAAACCCCTCTCCCAACACTGATGATGATACCTAGTTAGTAATGAAAGGTCTATGAGAAAACAACCCAGCTTAGAGCACACCAAGGATCCCATCAAAATAAACAACTGTCTTTGAGTCTGGGAATTCAGTTAAAGTGGACCAAAATAAATATTTTTTTTCCTTTAGGAAAAAAAAAAGGTTGTTGAATTTGTCTGACTAACATACGCTATCAGGTCTTTGCATTCTGACACGACGCCATGCAGGTCCTCATTCTGACGTCTTTATTTCTTTCCTTTTCTTTTTTCCCCTCTCCTGAATAGCCGCAACCAGCTCTCAACGTTGCCTGTCCACTTGTGCAACCTGCCTTTGAAAGTCCTGATCGCCAGCAACAATAAGTTGGTCTCCATCCCAGAAGAAATCGGACAGCTGAGACAGCTGATGGAGCTTGTAAGTGGGCCTGCGTCTTTCCCGAGCTCGGCCTTGGATTCTGCGCTTCTTGGTGGATTGAGATTGGATGGGCGAATTTTTGTTTGTTCTTGTTTGTTTAAAGAGACTTAGAACTTTTACCTACCATGAAGTCAATTTTTTCACCTTAATGGGTGGATAAAAATTCGAATGGTTTACCAAAAGTTGACACAGTTTGCCCTGAAACGCAGATCATTCTCCACTTATGACCCTTTGTTTAGTGACTGAATTTAGACCGGCATTGAAAAAAGTGATGTATACACTTAGAATCCGGATTCACTTAATAACCGTGTCCCTAATTTAATAACTGCAGCGTTTCATTTAACAACAGTGGCAAAAAAAGGTCGTACAGTAGGACAGTATCCACTTAACAGCTGTCTTGCTTAGCCGTGGAGATTCGTGGCTCAGTTGCGGTCGTAAATCGAGGATTACCTGTAGCAGTATTTCTTTCTTGTTTTCTTTTTAAAACAATTAGATTAAGTATTTCTGTTTCTCTGTCGATATCCTGACTTTGAGGAAGGTTACCCTACCCCCTTTACATCCCAAGACTGATGTTTATGGCCCTTAACACGCTCTGACTTTTCAATCCTCGTGTGTGTTGCTTCTCTGAGGTTTTAATAGCTGGTGGGACATCTGCCAAATTTTTGTGGTTTCTCGTTAAGTTTCATGAGCTTGTTTAAATAAGCATGGAGGTTATTTAAACAGTAAGATGATGATTCCTGGGAGAGGACAGCAGATCAGTTTTAATCATATATATTCAGGTAGTCCTCCGAGAACTCTGATTGTGGCATGGAGCACGCTATCTGAGAAACCGGCTCAGCCCTAAGGGATTGGCCCTTCCCACTTGTGCCAGGGGAAGGGGCATGCTGCCAAGGAATTCTGGCTGGCGGGGTCCAGGACAGAGCCTTTTCTGCTGTGGCCCCCACCCTCTGGAACATGCCGAGGTCAGATCCGCTCCCATCCTTTTGGCCTTCCGAAAGACATGACTTTGCCAACTAGTCTGGGGCCCCAATGCATGTGTTATGTTGAAGGTGGCTGAAGGAGTAGAGAAAGCCCCACCACATCCTGTGCATACCTGTCTCCCTCCCTCTCTATCCTGCTGAATTATGTTTTGACTGATTTTTTCCATTTCAGATTGTCTGTCTGTCTATATATCTACTGTATATCTATATCTTTATAGATAGATAGATAGATGATAGATAGATAGATAGATAGATAGATAGATAGATAGATAGATAGAT